ATTTTATTTGAACTCTAATTATAAAAAATAATTATATTATTAAAATTTTAAATAATATAATATTCTACTTAATATGAAATCCTTATCAACACTCCCCCTCAAGTTGGCACAAAAATATCACATATACCCAAATTGCAAATTAGGTTCTGAAGAGATTTGTTACATAATCCTCTAGTAAAAATATCAGTCACCTGATCGCCAGAAAATACATGATATAAGCATAGAGAGCCACCAACCACCTTCTCTTTTATGAAGTGTCGATCAATCTCAATGTGTTTTTTCCTCTTATGTTGAACTAAATTATGAGCAATATTAATTGTTACTTTATTGTCACAAAACAGGAATAGTTTCTCATCTTTAAGCAGTTTTAACTCCCTCATTACCTTTTGCAGCCATAGTACTTCACATACTCTTTAGGCCATTATTCTATATTCTGCTTCAGCATTAGAGCGAGCAACTACACTTTATTTCTTACTTTTCCATATGACTAAGTTGCTTCCTACAAGTGCGCAATAACGTGTAGTTGATCTTCTATCATTTAAGAACCCAGCTCAATCGGCATATATAAATACTTCTATTTTAAAGTGACCATACTTAGAAAAGAGTAGACATTTTCCTAGTGCAAACTTTAGGTATCGTAATATGCAGAAAACAACATATAAATGAGTCTCATGAGGATCATCCATGTACTGGCCCACAAGACTAACTACACATGCTATATTAGGTCTGGTATGTGAGAGATAAATAAATCTTCCAACTAGTCTCTGGTATCTTCCCAAGTCAACTAATGTACCACTACCTGCTTGCAATCTGTGGTTACTCTCAATAGGTGATTCTGCCGGCTTGCAACCCATCATACCAGTCTCTTATAATAAGTATAAGATATACTTTCTTTGAGAAATGAAGATCCCTTTATTGGATCTGACAACTTCAATCCCCAATAAATATTACAATTTTTCTAAAACTTTTATTTCAAACTCTTGAACAAGAAGTTCCTTAAACCGAATCATCTCCTTTGTATCATCTTCAGTCGCCACAATATCATCCACATAAACAATGAGAAGAGTGACCTTACCCCCACGATGTTTAATAAATAAAGTATGATCCGCATTGCTTTATATCCAAAAGAGATCAAAACTGTTCTAAACCGTTCAAACCATACTTTTAGAGACTGCTTCAATCCATATAAGGCTTTTTTTAATTGGCAAACTTTTTCTTGCATCCTCTCAACTTCAAATTCATGTAGAATTTTCATGTACACCTCTTCCTCTAAGTCTCCATGGAGGAATATGTTTTTTACATCAAAATGCTGTAAATCCCAATCAAAGTTAGTTGCGCAAGACAAAAGCATCCTAATTGTATTCATTTTCGCAACAGGTGCAAATGTCTCCTGATGATCAATTCCATAGGTCTGAATAAATCCTTTAACCACCAATCTACCTTTGTACCTTTCGATCGATCCGTCTGCTTTATGTTTTACGGTAAACACCCATTTGTAACCAACTATCTTCTTTCCCTGTGGAGGTAAAACAGGTTTTCATGTTTCATTCTTTATCAATGCTCTCATTTGTTCGGTCATAACTTTCTTCCACTTTGGATCTCCTAAAGTTTCTCTCCGATCTTGTGGAACAGACACAGAAGAAACAGATAAGACAAAGTCTCTACAGGAGGGAAATAGAGAGTCATAGGAAACAAAGTTAGATATAGAGTGTTTAGTGCAAGTTCTCGTTCACTTTCTAATAGCAATAGATTTATCTGATAAATCACAAGAGAAAAATAACTCATCAATGTCTTCTGAAACCAAAGAAGATACTTGACCTGAAACAGACTGCATGATAGCTTTTTCACACTTCTCTCTTCTTGAATACCTTTTCAAGTCTAATTTATCTATACATCCAACATTATTTTCTTGATTAAGGCTTTTTGTAATATAATTCTCCCCCTGAATATGATTCTCAATCGTTACCCAATTAGGTATCACTTCTTTTTTCTCACTCTCCCCCTGAAGAAGTGTTGGGTCTGAGTTGAAGTAAGACTCATCTCCCTAAAGGTAACATCCATAGTACAAATATTTTCTAAATGGTGGATGATACACTTATATACTTTTTGGGTA